GAGGGAGAGGTTGGAAAGGATGGACCATGGGTGGTATGAGGTTCCTGAGAGGCGGCGGGGACTGCTGTAGAGTGAAGAAGGCAAAGCAGTGATGTAGGTAGATCTGGGGACTTGGTGGTGGCCTGCCACGGCCCCTGTCCTTCTGCCATCTGGATTCCTGAGACTTGTGTGCTGCCTCGGCCCCGCTGCACTCTCTTCTCTTTGCTTGCCAATCTCAGGCCCCCGGGACCAGAGATGATCCTGTCAGGGGCTGCTGCCCACCATCTGCCACTTCTCCATCCGCTCTGAATTTCTGTGCTCCAGGGCCTCCTGCCGACCACGGGCTTCCTCTTTTACACTCTTCTATTCTCTCGTCCCAGTTGCTGGATGCTGAATCACTCTCCCTTCCAAGCCCCCTGCATGAGCCTCCTGGTTCTGATGTACAAAACTCAAACATCTATTATGTGTAGAACCCTCACCGTTCGGGCATGGTGCTATGTGCTTCACAAGTATCGGTCTCCTCAGCCCTAAGCTATAGAGGACTGTGCTGCCATCCCATTTTACAGACAGGGATATTAAAGCTCAGAAAGGATGTGTCTTGTACAAGGTCTCATAGAAAATGCCATAGGGAAGATGTGCCCAAGTCTGTACGCTTCAAAAACTGACCTCATTCTGTGATGCCACACTGTCTTTGGGTGTCAGGAGTAGAGCTAGATGCTTTGCAGACCTTTTCCCATGTGGGCAGTGGGTTGTGGGTGTAAACAGCAGAAAATGGGGCTTAGCCACGGGATTGGTTCTACGAGAGAACTATAGAGCGTAAGCTCTGTGAAGGCAAGGACTGTGCCTGTATGGTCACTGCAATACCCCCAGTTCCCAGAATAGAATCTGGTATGTAACAGTGCACAATAAATATTTATTGAATGAATGAATGAATGAATGAATGAATGAATGAATAAATGAATGAACTCTGGCCTCTAAGAGGGCTGATCAAAGCATTGAGATGAGATCCGGCAAGAATACAAGACAGGGACCAAGGGCCTGGAACTGGCCCAAGTTAAGACTTGGGTGTAGGAAAAAGACAGAAGTCCAGGATTCTTCCCCAGCCCAGTAGGAGGGACCTCGTAAGTTAATACTAAATCATACAAGGCATTGCATTTCTTTTTAAAAATATGTTTTATTGACTTTTTTTTTAGAGAGGGAGGGAGAGAGAACATGGATCGGTTGCCTCCTGCACACCCCCCACTGGGGATCAAGCCCACAACCCTGCATGTGCCCTGACCGGGAATTGAACCTCGATCTCCTGGATCCTAGGTCGACGCTCAACCGCTGAGCCATGCTGGCGGGGCCCCCTGTCCTTTCTTTTGTCGAGCCCACTCACCGAGTTTTTGTTTCAGTTACTGTGTTTTTTAGTTCTAAAATTTCGACTTGGTTCTTATTTATATATGATATTGCTTTGCCAAGACTATATTTCTTTGCTGAGAATTTCTATTTTTTCATTTGTTTCAAATGTATTTGTCATTGAACACATCCTTTTCAGATCATTCTAATATCTGTGTCACTTTGGTGTTGGGGGTCTACAAATTGTCTTTTATAGCAAGTTCAGATTTTTCTGGTGTTACTATAAGAAGTCACTTTTTATTAAGACCTGGAAATTTTGGCTATTGTGTTATGAAACTCTGGATCTTATCTATATCTTATGTTTTAGCAGGTGTCCTTTAATATTGCTTCTGTGGGGAAGCGGGGTGCTGCCTCATTACTGCCAGGTGGGTTCTCCCCTTGGCCTCCACTGACACCTACTGCTGGGCAGGGGTGGGAGTCCAAGTTTCCTACCAGGCCTTCAATGATACCACACTGGCTGAGAGGGGGAGGGTTACTTCCTTACTTCTCCCATGTGGCCTCCATTGGTATTACGGGGAGAGATGGCCTTGTTACTGCTGATCAGAGGTGCAAGTCCTGAGTGGATAATTAGGTCTCTTCTGGGGAAAGGAAGGGGGTACCTCATTACAGCCTGGCAAGGACAGAAATCTAGTCATTCCACTTGGCCTTGGCTGATGGGGGTACAGGTGGGGCTGGAATAGAGGGAGTATTGTCTAAAGGTTGTCTTTCTAATCTGTTCCTTTCCTGGTCCTTTGGCTAGAGAAAGCAGGCTTGGGGAGGGGGGCGGAGATTGTCTGCACCCACTGGCATTTTTAGGTTGCTGGCTTCTCCAGTGCCCAATGTGATGTATTTCAGGCAAAAAGAAAACTCAGGGAACTCACCGCTGAATCATTCCTTGGGTCTTGACCTCCCTAACCAGTATGCTCCCTTCTCTTTCAGAGCCTTCTTATGTTTGTTTTATATATAACGTCTGGGATTTTAACTGTACTTAACATGAGAAATAGCATAAAGTATGTCTGCTCCATCTTTCTAGAAGCAAAAGGTGATCCACAGATTTTTGAAAAATTAAAGACATTTAAAAATCACACATTTGTCATAAAGATGTAGACTTCTGATTTCTCGTGAAACATTGAAAGATGAAGTCATCCTGGCCTGCACTTATTTGGTAACAATTGGCTGGGGCTGGGCATCCACTGCCCCTGTAGGTGAGTGAGAATGAGTTTACTGTAGGTCCTGCCCCTCTCATAATGAATGTATTTATTTACAAAAGGCTTGAATCCCTAGTTATTACATTACCAAAGGAGTCTGAACTTGCTACCTCTGTATCAGAACTTATGTTTGATCTCCAGGAAGTGTTGGCCACAGCAAAGATTAGATGTGACACCAGAAAAGGAGCCATTGGCAGGATCCTTAAAAGATTCTGCTACATCATTGCAGTAATGTTCTTGCTCTCCCAGCACAAAATTCTGTGTTAGCACAGACTGTTCTGAGTGGTTCCAGTAAAAGAAAAAAAAGGCCCCTCTCATCTCAGGAACAGCTAGCTCATTCCTCTTGAGAAACCCCTAATCACGAAATGACCTGGAGTTATGCTCCCAGCCCACTCTTGTGGGAAGTAGGACCCAGTGAGCTAGTTGGCCCATAGAAACATGTAAGTCAGCAGAAACCTTGGGTTCTCAGTGGTTGCAAAGTGAAGCCCCAAGGGGAGGTAGCTTTGTGTTCTAAAAGAGCAAAGAATGCTGTGGTGGTAGCTCCAATCAGATTGGTGATCCCAGAAATGTGGAAGTTTCAATAGTTCTAAGGAGAGACCTGAAAATGATCTATTTCTCACCATGGATTCAAACAAGTAGTTAGTTCTGCTAACCTGGTGAGCTCTGCCATTTCAGTGTCCAAACCTGTCAGCTCCAGTGTGGAGGCAAAGTCATCTTAAGGCAGATGTTTTCAAATTGTTGAGTTCACTGACCCCTTTTCAAGAACATGAGGCTTAATAAGCCACCTGGCCTCTTTGACCCAGTGCATTCTGGTTTCCTCCAGAGAGGGAACTATCAAGAGAGAGATGCTGATCTGTTGCCTGAGTCCTTACCTCTCCGTGTCCCCAGCTCATCACCTCCAGTCTTCTGACCAGAGCTGAGAATGTTGAGCAATCTCTCACTCTGTTTGGATAAAGCACAACTCAACAACTGACAGCAGGCATGGGCTTCCTGCAGAGCCTTGGCTTCCCTTATGTGCTGTTTCTGGAGATAAAAGAAAAAACAATTTGGTTTGTCAACAACAGCCCCAGCTCAATACATCTCACAGCTGTGTATGGCCTAAGACATCGTCACTCTCCTTGGCCACAGTGCCATGTGTCTGGCCCTCCACACAATAAGGAAAAAAGAGCACTGGCATCAGACTAAGAGGAAACACAACTTAAAGAGACCCTTCAAGAGGCATAGACAATAGTGGTAACAATAATAATGAGAAGCAGCAGCAGCTATCATTTATCTAGTACCTATTATATGCAAAGTAGTTCTGGGTTAAATATGTGTGTGTGTGTATGTGTGTGACTCTACTTTGCAACTGAAGACACTGCAGCTCAGAAAGGGTAATTTGCCCAAGGTGACTTCAACGAGATTGGGTTTGAAATGCTTGATGTTATGTTGCAAGTGACATGACTACTAACTTGTAGCTCCAAGTGAGATTTTGTAGAATTGAGTTGTCCCCGTCTCTTTCTTGGCTGGAGGCATTGCCCAGGCAGTGGGAGCCACAGAAGTCCAGGGTTGCTCTAGTCTTCAGAGAGGTCTGGCAGAGAAGCGCCTCCAAACGATATGCAGATTATAGACAAGTAATCCTGGCCTGATAGTTTCTGCTCAAATCTCTGTGGTCTGTGACAATGCCAATCCCAGGAATTAGAATGGTCACTGGAATTGAGTGAGTGCTCCAGATGCCTAGGCTGGGGAGTGTGGTGGGGGACTGAACGCCATTTTGACTGACTCCAGGAGGGGGGCCTCAGGGCTGCCCTCCCTTAGCAGTGCAGGGACTTTATCTCTAAGGGTGCCTCCCTTCCATCCCCTCTGCATTTTTACTACCACTATTCTAGGCGAAGTCTGTGCCCTTGCATTGGTCTCTACTACTCTCCCTTCTTCCTTCAAGTCTGAAACTGCGGAGCCAACACATGCTTCCTAAAAAACACAGGTCCAGCCTTTCGTGTTTTTCCCGGCGATCCCTCAGAGGGATCCCTTCTATATTCAGATTTTTCTTTTAAAAGCATGTTGCTAAGCATGTCAGTTAGAAGTACTCTATACCACTGGTGTAAGATAGCAAATGGGAACAATGGCATTGCTTCTTCAAAACTGTTATCTGAACATGGCATTTTCTTACCTTTAAAGTTAGACTTCACAGACCTTACAGTAAACACACAATCAGTTTTCGCTGCCTCTCCCTCCCAGCCCAAGTCTGTGCTTTATGGAAAATAACCAGACTCAAAGCACTAAAGAACACTGCAACTTCTTAAATGAGTTACCATATTTGAAATACCTCATATACATTAAGCTTATTATCCCCTAGATGCAAATTTTTAAGGCATAGAAGGAGGCATTTTTCCAAACTTAAAAAATAGGTTGCAATCTTATTATAGAAAAGTATGATCCAAGAGAAAACAGAACAAATAGGATGGAGCAATCCTTTATTTTTAGACACATTCACAAAGAGGTTGTCAGTACATAAACTTTCCAGTGGAGAAGAGCAAACATGAAAATCAGCTTCCAGCCATCGGCCGCTGCTCTGCTCAGGGCCTAGGATCCTCCTTGCCCATGTGGTGTGGTGGAGGCGTGTACTTCCCCTCCTTGATTAGTTTATCCCGCTGTCTCAAGATCGCACTCAGACGTTTCATCTGTCAAAGGAAAAAAGTATTTAAAACTAGGGGGAGGCCCTGGCTGGGTAGTTCAACTGGCTAGAGCATTGTCCTGGAATACCAATCAGGTTGTAGATTCAATCCCCAGTGAGGGCACAAACAAATATCAACCAATGGATGCATAAATAAGTGGAACAACGAAATCAATGTTTCTCTCTCTCTAAAATATATACATACCTACATACAAAACTACGGGGAGATATGCATCAGAAAGTGAGGGCTGGAGAAACAGAAGGAAAATTGGTTTCATTTTTAAATTATAGAAGCTTTCCATCCTAGAGGGCCTCTGAGATGAAACCTGTCTTAAAAACTAACTTAAAATAATTTCCCAAGCTTTTAACAAATAAACTTCTGGTATATACAATAGTATCTCCTTGAAATCTAGTAACTAAAACATTCCTAATATATATAGGAATACAGATTTTACAAAAACAGTGACAAAAACATACAGGTCAAAAACCTTTAAGGCATGTACTTGTGCATACTAAAATCTTTAAAAATATTAAAAGCTGAGATCATCTCATAGCTTATATATTCCTGGCCTCTCTATGTGAAAGTGGCACTGCTGCTGGTGACTGTTTGCTGGGTATGAATGAAAAAGAAGAGCCAATATAAGGTCTCTTTTTACCACACTGAAATTAAGACCCAATATTCAGCTACTAATCACTGTTGAGCCCCGAGTTTTGCCTCTTCTCAGGAAGGCCATTCCTAGCCAATGAGTCATGCTATACAAGACTGTGTGAGAGCCGTAAGTCGTATTTTCTTTGACATAGAAAATACACTCACTAACCATGACTGCATTATTTGTCTGCTCAAAACTCAATGGCTTCCCATCTTACTGAGAGAAAAAACTGAATCCTTCCTCATAATGACAGAGGCCTACCACTCCGAATTTAAGTCTTAACACCCTCCCCTAGCTCTCTCTGACCCAGCTCAGGGTGTCTGAACTTGCTGGTTCTTCAGCAGAGCGTGTTCTCCCCTCGTATCCAGTTGGCTCACTTTCTCTAAGTCTCTGCTCAAATGTCACCTGTTGCTGAACTCTTCTCTGAACATCCACTTAGCTCCCATGCCCAGTGCTTTGTTCTTTTCCTATTTATTTCCCCCACTGCACTTATCAACACCTGAAACACTATTTTTTAACTTTTTAACTCGTTTGTTAATTTTCTGCTCCCCTCCCCACCATATAAGCTCCATTAGGACAGGGACTTTTTGCTGTTTTGCTTACTGCTATATTCCTAGTGTCTAGAATAGTTCTTGATAAAATAGATGATCCGATAAATATTTTTTTAGTGAATGACGAAGTTTTCACAAAAGCATGAAGAGTTAGTATATTCAGTTAAACATCCCATTAATTTTAAAGAATTAGGATATAACTTCAGTAGAAAACTCTAGGTATACTAAATACTGACATAAACTTTAACAATTTTTAAAAGACTACATTCTTAACATTTCTCTATGAAAGAGTTTCCCAACAGAGGACAAGTCATGGTTGAGCTATCATAATACCATGGATTAAATCTCTCTCTGAACTAGAGCCAATCACCACTTAGTGTTGTGGATCTAATAAGCACAGGCTGTGGAGCCAGCATTGCCAGGTTCAAATCCCAGTTACACCACTTACTAGCTACATGACCTTAGGCAATGGCCTTAATTTTTCCTTGCCTCAAGTTTTTAATTATGTAGTAGGGGAAATAACAGTAAAGCAACTCACAAGATTGTTGTGAGAAATAAATGCACTATTACATGGTAGGCACTTAGAACAGTGCTTGATTCTAATGCCCTGAATCACTAGCTTCTTTGCCTAGGGGGAAGGATCTAGTTATTTGGGGTGACCTCTAAAACAGTAACATATTTATTCCTAAATTCAGAGGATGAGGAAGTGACCTTGGGGCAACTCTTTGATATTTACAGATAAGGAAACCAAGAAGTGACTTGCCTGAAGTCACAAAACTAGTGATGGCAGAACCACATCAAAATCCAGTTCTTCTAACTCCCAATCCAATGTTCTTTCTACCTCACCACGCTGCCTCCTCTTGGTGTAAATTTTCCGCAGTGAGTCAAGTGTTAAGCTGAGCAAGGAATAACAGGGGTCCGCAAAAAGGGAAGGCATGCTGTGAACTAGCTAGTGGGTAGGTGGCCAACACGACCGACCTACCATTGTCTTACGATACAGACTACACTATACTATTACTCACTTAATGATCAATGTTCCTGCAGAGACCAATACAAAATTATGACCTCACACCCTCTCATTCCTTCCAAGTTGGCTTCACTTTAACCAAATGCTAACAGCAGATGTTAAAAGAAATGTAAAAATTTTGATAAATTTGTGATAAAATTTGACTGAAAATCTAAATTGTCTCTCCGAACTCCAAGAAATTACGAATAATAAAAATATTCCTATTTGTTATATCTGGAGCACAGAAATAGGCAAAACAATAGCCCACACCCAAAGATTTCTTCTTTAAGGGAGAACAGGGCCCTGAACGTTAGGAACTCACCCAACTCTTCTGGACCGAGACACCATGTGTGAACAAGCCCTGTCCCTCGGCAGCTTTGACTAGGCTCACCTCGAGCAATCTCATGAACCCCCTGCCTCCCCAGAGTGTAAGTGTTTCAGAGGCTGTTGTATCAGCCTCAATGCAACAGACCTTCTGGGTTTTAACCTCCCTCCCAATGAGGACTCAATGAATCTGAAAGATTTTCACAAACATCCACAACAGGTTTATATTCTTTGCTTTATGGCCTCCTACAAAAATAGAAACAGACACAGGCATGTAATTTCTAAACTGATGGCTACGGCAAGGTATGATACTAAGGAAAACCTATGAGAAGATGAGGAAGAACACTGAGGAACAACAGGTCCTCCTCAGATCTGAAGGCATTTAACTTCCTTGACATGGTGCCTAAGTAGAAGTGTTTCACCACAAAAGTCTTGCCAGTTCGCACCAGGTAAGTCACTGCCCAATGACCAATTATATGCACTGAAAAGTAGCCCCCAAAGAATTAAGGAAGCAACTCAGTTCCCATCTCCATCACTTCCTCACCGTTTTCTGCCGAAGCAGGCATTCTACGAAATCTTCGTACTCTATCTTGCACTCTTTTTCTGCTCGGATAGCACCAATTCCATGCGAACATTCTATCCATTCTTTTTCAAAAGCATGGCACCGAGATGGAATCTTGTGAGGCTGTTCAGCACTTTGGATTGTCATCCAGCGGTCTAGGTCAATGCCCAGCCTTTTCTGTATATCAAAGAAAGGCATGGCTGAAATGAAAGATAAAAAAATGGTATGTCATAAAAGTAAAGTCAAGTAAGAAATTTCTAAGAAAAATGAGATTATTATGATACACAGCCCTCTAGAAAGATATTTTACACTATTCTCCCAACTTCCTCTCACCAAACTTTTTCATTAGACAGATTCTCCCAATTTTGGTAGTTGAACAATTTCTGTGCTTTCACAAAACCCAAGGAAAAGAGAACTAGAAATAAAAAGTGTATAAAAGTCCTCTTTATATTGATAAATCTTTCTTATCAAAAGTCAAAAAGTGTTTATGTTTTGACTTAATGATCTCAATTCTTTGAGTCAGATCTGAATACTGAAAAAAAAAACAAACACAGAAAAGCATAAGCACAGAAACATTTCTTTACATATTTCTATCCATATCAACTTAGATGACACCTTCCCAGAGAAGCTATCCTGAAACTGGTGTCCCTTCTTTATCTTAACATATCATTCTCAACTTCCCATAGGAGTACTTTGTATGCCACTATAATGGACTATTTACTTGAATGTCTCCCCTATTGAACAATGAATGCAGTGAGAACGGGAGCTAGGTAGGGATTCAGTAATAGTTTGGTTTTAAAAAAAAAAAAAAAAAAGATTAATTTCAAACAACTTAAATGGATAATTAAATCCAGTTTCTACTTAGAATATGATAGATATTCAGGGGAAAAAAGATAATATACATGGGACATACATTTTAATGTCAAATAAAGGAAAGTACTACAATAATGCTAAAGAAAAACTGTCTGCAAAAGAAGACTGGAAGAAAGCACACACAACAAAAGGCCATGCAGTTATGTATGAATGGTAGATCTAAAGGTGCATTTATTTTTAAAATTTCCTATCCATTCTTTAAGTCATTTACTAATTAATAACGTTCCAGCCACTGGAATGGGGGGAAAGAAGCAGCTGCAATGTTAAGTACGAGAATACAGATACACAGCGAATTGGGAACCCAAAGGAAGGAACACAACAGGGTTTAAGAGCTCGAAGACGGAAGCACCAATTCTGCCCAAGAGACTTGCGAATGCCTTTTTGGATGGGTTGAGTTTGCCAAGTGAAGGTCAGCGGGCAGAGTATTCCTGTAGGGCACTGCACGAGCTACAGCCGGAGGTGCTGGCTATGTCTGAGGGGACACTGAGGACCCAGACGTGGCTAGAGCGCAGAGTGCATGTCGGGAAGAACGAAATGGGCTGAAGGGGTGGGCAGGGCCGCAACCACGCAGGAACTTGTAAGCCGAGAAAATGAGCGTGGGCTTCGGGTTAAGAGCCAGAAGGCCAAAGCATTAGTCCGGAAGAAATCTCAGCCTGTAAGGAGGACCGAGAGAGGTGCGGTCTACAGGGTTCGATGACATTGGCTGCGTGGGCGAAGGGGCCTGGGAAAGCGGAAAACACGCCCAGAGGTCGAGTCAGAGAGAACGGACACCCAGCAAGCCAAGAGGAAATTTGTTAAAGAAATCTCGGAAGGAAATTCCTTAAGCTAAATTGCGCCGCGGACATTCGCAGGCCCTACCGTCCTGCCGCCGCGGTGCCCTTGTCTGTTTGGTGGCCACAGGTAATGGACTGAAGGCGACGCGGAGACCTGCCGCAAAGGACGCCCGCAGCGCGACGTTTGCAGCACGACGCCGGGAGCAGACTTTCCTTCCGCCGTCTGGATCCGGAAACCATAGGAACCAAGCTTATCGACCTGCGCTTGCGCGGCTGTGCGCCAGGACTTCTGGAGATACAGACCCAGGACCAGCTGATGTTCCCTAGAGAGCCGCGTTAGAGACGGCCCAGCGGTTACTGAGCCCCTGCTGCCTCCGGGCGCTATAGCAAGCACTCTCACGACAGCTTTGATTTGTGAGGTACTTGACCAAGGCCACACGAGAGAAAAAAGTGTCCCCTCCGCCACTGCAGTAGTGGTTAAGCTCATGGACTGTGTAGACCCGCTCTAGGTGGGTTGCTCCGCCGCTTCTGTGTGACCCTGGGAAAGTTTCCTAACCTCACTTAACCTCCGTTTCCTCAAATTAAGGTTAAAGTACTGCCCTGTCTGAGTAGCTCAGTTGGGAGCATTGTCCCCCCAAACCAAGGTTTTGGGTTCCATTCTCCCTCAGGGCATGTACAAGAATCAACCAACGAATGCATAAATACGTGTAACAACAAAGTGATCTCTCCCTCTCTTCTAAGATCAGTTTAAAAAAATGATTATTTTTAAAAGGAAATAGTATCTACAGCGTAGGGTTGCTTTGGGGATTAAATTACGTGTAAAGCACTGAGGCTGTTCCTGGACCATGGAAAGCATTCTAAGGCAATCTCAGTTCTTTGATGTCTCAGCTTCTAAAGTTTACTGATTTGGAAAAGTTGACGAAGTCCATGTCTTCCTCTGTTTCAGAATCTCCAGTGGCTCCCTTTCACTACAGAGGGACTCCAAAGTGGTGTGCATGTGTGGGTACCATAGGGTGTGTGTGATATGATACATTGAGGGTGTGGGAAGAAAATACAAGAATACTTCTGTTTAATCTTTTTTAAATTTCTAATTTTTTGTGTAAATGTTTATAAAGTGCATAAAATCACTGCAGTGGTATATATAAATAACTTGTACATAAATATTTATTTGGGGTTTGGGCTGAAAATTTTTGCTTTTAAGTGATGTGCTCTCAAAAACGTTTATACAAGTCCAGCCTTCCAAACGTTCCCAGCCTCACTGTCCAAAGTCCCTGCCTAATGCTCCAACCAAGAGCTTGTTTCAGTGTATTCCAGGAAAAGTGCTACCATCCAGTATCTTTGATTTTTCTTTTTTATTCTTTTCCCAGGAATGACACCATTTCTACCCCATCTCCATTTTTGCATGCCAAATTCCTGATCTATTTCAGGACTTTTGCATAGGTTTTTCCCCAAAAGGAGTTAAGTACCCCTAAACTCCAGAACCACCCACTCTGGAGACAATTCCTAAGGTCCCAAAATTACTGGTTTTATTCAAGCATTCCAATTCTCTTTCCCCATCACATAAGAGTTTCAATTCAACTAGAATTTCCTGAGCACCTAATGCATGCCCAGCAGAATACTGGGGGCTTATGGAATCGTTAACTCATAGCCCTTGCCCACAAAAAACTAGAGGTAGCAAGGTATTGATCACTACCACCCTTTGCATTTCTCCCCCTTTCTAATTTATGGTGGCGATATCACCTTCCCAGCCATTCAGGCAGGAAACTGAAGTTGTATTTTGCCTTCTCCTCACCTTTCATCCAATATTTAATTACTGCCCAAGTTCTCTCAAATATTCCTTCCACAAGTTTCCAATTTTATTTTTTCCTTTTTGCCTCCCAGCTCCTCATGACAATCTCTTTTTCACTGACTAATCTTCCTAAAATACTAATTTCATTGTATCACTTCTCAGATAGCAGGCAGGATAGGTAAGTACAAAGATGGGCAACACAGATGCCTTTAAGTCCAAACAGAGCTCACTATAAGAAAAGCACCATGATAAATGGAAACTGGACTTGGCCTCAGTTTGTTTGTTTTTTTTTAAAATATATCTTTATTGACTTCAGACAGAGGAAGGGAGAGGGGGAGAGAGAGAAACATCAATGATGAGAGCCACTGACCAGCTGCCTCCTGCATGCCCCTCGACTGGGGATGGAGGGGGCAACCCCCGCATGTGCCCTGACCGGGAACCCAACCCTTATCTCTTGGATCCTAGGTCCACGCTCACCGCTGAGCCACGCCCGGCTGGGCTTGGCCTCGNACCAGCTGCCTCCTGCATGCCCCTCGACTGGGGATGGAGGGGGCAACCCCTGCATGTGCCCTGACCAGGAACCCAACCCTGATCTCTTGGATCCTAGGTCCACGCTCAACCGCTGAGCCACGCCCGGCTGGGCTTGGCCTCAGCCTCAGTTTGACTGATGGGAAGCAGTGGTGGGGAATATGACTGGAGGGCATAAGTCTGTCCTGTCTACAGGCAGCAGGAGATACTCAGCTCCATCCTATTGCTGTGGAGAGAATCAGGGCCCCAAATGGTCAAATCTTCATATTTTTTAAGAGAAGCCAGAAATCTTTTGTTATTGTTTAAATGTGAAACCTCCCACTTTTAAAATTTGGGGCAACGAATTTTTTAAAAAGTACTGGCTAAACAAAGCCCAGGAAATAGCCTTTATGCTGCCCAATTTCAACCCTTGAGTGGAGGGGGAACTGGAGGTCGGGGAAACCAATTTACTTTGAACTACGATGGCTCTTTACATCCAGCCTTTCTCCCTTCTTCCCGTTTTGGTTGCTTTTCTAAAACTCAATCCGATCATTCAAAAAACGATTTTATCCCACGGCATGGACCTTGCTGAGCTCGGGGGTGGGGGTGGGGGTGTAAGACACAGAATGCCGTGGCAAGTGATCAAAGATGAACCAGACGAGAGAACACAAAGGAGGCGGTCATTCATACTGCGTGGGCTGTGTTTGAGGTGCCAGTGTATTCAAGAAAAGGTCCAAATTTGGGGGTTTGGCATCAAGACCCTTCATGATCCGACTTCTTCCCACTTCTAAGTTCTCAGGTCCCACTGCTTACCAGCCCCTAGTCAACCTCCTTGTGTTCTCAGCCACCCAGAATTGCTCTCATGCTTCCAAACTGCAGGAGCAGGTTCTTGTCTGGAACGATCCTACCACCGCTCACGGCCGCCTCCCTGCTGTCTCCCACCCGGACTGTACACCCCGCCATTTTCTGGTAAAGGGTTCCCGAATTCCTCGGGCGTGTAGGAGGCCTTTCTTGAGGTCCCGGCGGCCCCGGACGCGCCTATTACAGACCTTGCTAACTGCTGACTCGCCTACCCGTCCACGGGACCGTGCACACGGCCGTGTCAGCGCGGGCGTGCAAGATGGCGGCGACCGGTCCTCCACTACTGCGAATAAGAAGTGCCACCCGGCCACCGCGCAGCAGGACTGGGCCTGCGCCGGGCTCGCGGCCACGTGGCCGCTGGGGTCGCGCGCTGTGCTTACGTCACAAGTGATGTAACGCTCGCTAGGGGCTCCGTGTCGCCCCTTTCTGTTCCTCACCCCCACCCCCACTTACCTTCTCGCTGCCTTGTTTCGTGGACCCCTGGCTGCGTGGCAGTGCGACTGTACCGCGAAGTGAACGGGTTTATGCGCAGGGAGGAGAGCCCGAGGTGTCGCTTCCTCCATTTTGCATTCGGGAAACCGAGGCTCCGAGACCGGAAGGACCAGGACCGGGCCCTCCCCACGGCCTGTTTTTCCCAGACGTAGCCTCGTTCCCATCGCAGGGCATAAAAGCTGGCTCCATGACCTAATGTAAGGGCCCCATTTCCACCTCAGAAAACTGGCCTCAGCTGCTGCGTGCGCGCGGGCGAAGTCCCGTCTCCGTCCACAGGGTGCTGCCCTCCACCTGCAGGTGGTTACACACCCCTCAGTCCTACCGGAGACAGGCGCCTGTAATTTAGCACGTCGGGAGCTTTGGGCCTGTATCTGAAACCGCTGCCACACAGATCTGAATGATCTGGTAGCCTGTGGGCCCCAGCACATGTGGGGGAAGAGAGTGAGTGTGGGAACTCCCCCTACTCTCACCCCCAAGCCAGGAGCTGTAAGAGAAGAGGCAACAAAGCCAATCAGCAAAGTAACCCAAAAAGAAAGGGGTCCCAAGGCCTGGACTATAATGCAAATAAGAGTGACCATTTAAACTACAGAGAGAGTCCCACTTGGGGTTAGAGAAAGTATCAAGTTGAAGATGCAACAGGACCAGGAACCGCTGAAGCGAACTGAGGAGGAAGGCTGTGCCGGGCTCATGGTGGCGGAGGTACCTAGTGACGGTACACATCCCATCCCTGGAATTAACTCCCCTCATTCTTTAGTGAGGCTTCCCAAGGAGTATGATTTCATGAAGAAAACACAGTTAAAGCCAATGGGGCAATCTACTGCACCTGACATGTTTCTCATCATAAATTAACACACTGGAGTCTGGTTTTATAGACAAATACAGCTTTATTAGTGAGTCAGCCTTCCTGAGTACAGACCAGGGTAGTTAAACTACCTGGAGGGAACCTGCCAGGGCAGCTGAGTGGCCTTCCTCAGGAAACACTCTGCTCTCTGATGCACAGAACACTTATCAAAGCAAGTTTTATAAATGCTTGTTTATAGACCATGAGCTTCCCCAGGGTAAGGATTGCATCTCTCTTACCCTGGCTGCAGAGACAACCCGCGAAAGGCTTAAAATTACTTGTTCGGAGAGTTAAGGGAGTTTCAGGTAGTGCACTGATGACTGGAAAAGGAGAGGAACAGTCACATAATTCATTTATTCACTTACCATTTAGGAACCAAGGACAGAGAGATAATAGCTCAAGGTGCTATTAAGACCTCAGTATAGTGAGTTTATCAAGTAGACACATAAATGCATTATACAGCTTTAGAAAGGCATAAAATGGAGTATAAGTAGTACACCTCAGAAAGGCCTTCCTTACAACCCAATTTAGGCATCTAGTTACTATCATTACCATTCTGTTTTCTTCAAACAGTTTTCAATCAATCAAGACAGGCAAAGTTGTTTACTAGTTTGCCTGTCTTGCTTCACACGAATGAAACTACCACAAAAGCAGGAACCTTATTTGTCCACCTCAGTGATACAGTCCTAGAGCCCAGAACAGTACTTGGCAAATGGTAGGTGCACGATAAACATCAAATGAATAAGTAACTGCCATGAGCAAGGGAGCAA